TTGGGTACAACAGCAACAGGATTGCTATTTTAAAATGAGGTTTGGTAAAACAAACACCCAGGCAGCTTACAGGAAGTGCTCAGTTGATGATTAATTGATGCTCCGGAGCAGCCTCGTGCTCTCAGATGTATCCATTCTGTGATGCATGGATCCACTCATGAATCCTCATGGATCCTCTCATGAAGTTCAGCACCCACTCCCTAGCTCATTTCTAGATACCAATGTGTGGATTGTTTCGTGCCCTCTAGTGCCAAGGCAGCAGTGCAGAGGATGGTGGTGTCTCCCTTTAGAGAGAGCTGATCTTCAGGAAAAGAGAGAACATAGACCATGGTTTTACATTAGCTGGTGAAAACTTGTCAGCATGGGGGTGGTTCCATCTGTACACCTAAGATCTAAGGTAGGTAGAAAGTTTAAATGTGTCTGAGAGTACTTCAGAAAAGTCATTGAGGAACAAGTTCTTGGTAAAGTTACTGAAGCCAGGCATGGTGGTACACCCCTGTAATCCATGGAGGCTGAGGCAGTAAGGTCAGCATGGGCTACTACAAGGCAGGACCTTGTTTTATTTTTTTCTTTATTTTTTAAAAATTATTTTTATGGCCGGGCATGGTGGCGCACACCTTTAATCCTAGCACTCAGGAGGCAGAACCAGGTGGATCTCTGTGAGTTCAAGGCGAGCCTGGTCTACATAATGAGTTCCAGGACAGCTGGGGCTACAGGGAGACCCTGTCTCAAAAAGACATACATATATTTTTTTATTTAGACAGGGTCTCCCTGTAGCCCCAGCTGTCTTGGATTCACTATGGAGACCAGACCAGGCTGGCCTTGAACTGACAGAGATCCACCTGCCTCTGCCTCTGCCTCCTGAGTGCTGGGATTAAAGGCGTGTGCCACCATGTATATGAATGAGTGTTTTGCCTGCATGCATATAACTGCACTTATGTGTGCAGTGCCCAAGGAGGTCAGAAGAGGGTATTGAATCCCCTAGAACTGGAGTTACAGACAGTTGTTAGCTGCCATGTGGGTACAGGGAATCAAACTGGGGTCCTCTGCAAGAGCAGCCAGTGCTCTTAACCACTGAGCCATCTCTTCAGCTCTAAGACCTTGCTTTTTGGTTTCTTGGGTGTTTTTTGTTTTTTAAAGCAAACTAGAGCTGTAGCTCAATTGGTAGAGGAGCTCTTAGCACACATAGGGTCTGATCTAGTGGCACAGCACTTGGGAGATAGCAAGTTAAAGGCCCTGTTTCAAAAATACACAGATATATTTTAGCACAAGGTGATGAATGGACTATTGACGGTGGTAGAGGACACACCATCTCAAAAGCCATGCAGAGCATGCAGGGCCCATGAACTTCACTTGGGTGTGGCATTTCTGGGGGGATATTGGCCTGGACCCCAGCTGAAGGGCTAACATAGAATAGCATAAGCCTAAGCCAGTGGCTGCTGGAACAGGGCAGAGGCCTGTGGCTCCAGACAGACCACCTTTGCCCCTTAACTGTGCCATGAGATGGGGTTTGGCCTTTCTGAGCCTCCTTCTTCTCAAGTATGCTCTCTTCCCAGCCATTGCTCACTGATGGTGTGGAAGAGTAAATAACAGCATGTACACAGGCCCCACAGGCTGAAGCAGTGTGACCATAGCTATGGTGGCTCCTCTGTGGGCAGGTGCTACAGTGAGTTTGGTGCCACTCTGTGGTGGAGAGTTGCCAGCTTTTAAGAAAGGACACCCACTTTTAATCCCAGCTCATAAGCAGGCAGATCTCTTGAGATCCAGGCCGGCTGGGGCTACAGGGTGACCCTGTCTCAAAGGAAAAGAGAGGGAACTGGTGACTCTGTACCCATGTTTGGCAAGTTCACCTCCTGCCAGTCCAGGGCCCTTAGAACACATAGGCCTTTATCCACCTAATGCCATTCCCAGAGGCAGTAGTCACAGTGGTAACAAACGTTGAGATGCCTGGCTCTCAGGAACCTGTTGACTTCAGGGCCTATGGCCTTTCAGCTAGCCAGCACTGCTCAAGACCAAGGCCTGCAGAAGAGACTTGGTTTCTTTGATCAGCAGAACCCACTGTGTTTTTCACAGGTGATGTCACTGTGCTTTTAGTGGTGGACAGTGGATGCTTCTCTGTGGCAGGAGAATAATCTTCATGGCTAGTGCTTAAGAAAGCCATTCTAAGTGTAAAAACAGAAGACGTCATGGTTTTTGATTTGTTTTAAACTGTTTATATTTTATGTGTGTGAGTGTTTTGCCTGTATATATGTCTGTGTACCACATGCATGTAATGCTCATGGAGGTTTAGAAGAGGATGTCAGATCCCCTTGAACTGGAGTTTCATGTGATTGTTAGCTGCCATTGGGTGCTGGAAACTGAACCCAAGTCCTCTGCAACAGCAGCCAGTTCTCTTAACTGCTGAACCATCTCTCCAACTTCAACATCATGAGGTTTTAGGGGGATTGTTTTTTTCTAAAAAGGCAGGGGTGGGGCTGGTCTTAAACTCAGTTTTTTTTTAAGTACATACTTTATTTTTGGTCATTTTGAGACAGGGTCTCCCTGTAGCTCCAACTGGCTTGGAACTTGCTATGTAGATCAGGCTGGCCTTGAACTCACAGAGATCTGCCTGTCTCTGCCTCCTGAGTGCTGGGATTAAAAGCGTACACTATCACGCCTTAGCTTAATTACATACTTTAATTTTTTTTTTTTTTTGGTCTTTTTTTGAGACAGGGTCTCCCAGTAGCCCCAGCTATCCTGGAACTCACTATGTAGACCAGGCTGGCCTTGAACTCACAGAGATCCACCTGCCTCTGCCTCCCAAGTGCTGGGATTAAAGGCGTGTGCCACCAAGGGTTCCTGGGAGATACAAACACACACAGAATTAAAGTTAATAAAATAGGAACAGGTGCACATGTGTAGTCCCTGCTACTGAGGAAGCTGAGGCAGAAGAATCTCGGGCCTAGGGATTCAAGGGTAACCTGGGCAACATGGCAAGACCCTATCTCCAAAAATAAGGTAATATAAAGAAGAAAAATAAACATTCATAATATGAACATTGTTAATACTCAAAGATCTCATTTTTTAAATTATTTTTTAATTGTGTGTGCGCGCATGCATGCGTGTGCGTGCTCATGCCTATGTGATCGTGTGTATATGTGTTTAGGTGCTGAGGCCAGAGGCTTTCATTTTCCTGGAAAATGAAACTGGAACTAGAGTTAACAAGCAATTGTGAGCCATCATCGTGGATGCTGGGAATCAAACTCAGGTCCTCTGAAAGAGCAGTACTTGTTCTTAACTGCTGAGCCAGCTCTCCAGCCTGCAAAGACCTCTTTCAAGTACAAAATGAAAAGCACTGTAGTGGGAAAGTCAACAGCCTGAATAGGAAATTCATGTAGTAAAATATATAGACTTTGAAGCATATGCTACATTTGCTTATCAGGCAGGGCTGGAGACTCGTGGAGCTTTGGAGTGGAGCACTTGCCTGAGGGCCAGGGTTCCTCCCCAACACTGTAGCAAAATTAAAGAAAAAGCAGCATAATGGGCTTATTTCTAACAGTGAAAGCCTGGGAAAACCTAACAAGGATAGGACTGTTTTGCAATCAGTCACTGTGCACACTGGTATCTTTAGATTTGTGTTTTGATTTTATGGTGTCAGGGATCAAACCCAGGACCTCACGTGTGTTAGGCAAGTGCTCCACCATCGAGCTGCACCTCATCCCCTAAAATATAAGAACACTGAGTGACAAGAAAAAGTCTACAGCATGCTTTGTGAAAACAAGTGTGGTATGGTAGTAGTCTTTCTTTTGGGAGTGGTGCATAGTTACAGAGTTCCATGCAAGGGTTCCTGGGAGATACACACAAACACACACAGAATTAAAAGTAATAAAATAGACAGGAACAGGGTGCAGTGGTGCACACGCGTTGCAGTCCCTGCTACTGGGGAGTTGTGGCAGCAGAATCAGCGGCTTCAGTGTTCCTGCTTGCTTTCTGTTCTTTCTGTGCTGTTAGCGATGGACTTAGAACAAACCTTCCATCTCTGAGTTACACCGCTAGCCCCTATATTCCTTTTGTTGTGTTTGTTTGTTTGTTTGTTTGTTTGAATTTTTATATGTTTTATTGGGAGAAGTGTGGTGGTCAGAGGAAAACTTGGAGGAATTGTTTCTTTCCTTCCCCCATTTGGGCTTCCAAGTATCAAACTTGGGTCATCAACCTTGGCAGCAAGTGCCTTTTCCCACTGAGCCATCTCCCTAGCCTCCTTTTTGGCTTTTTGAGACAAGGTCTCACTCTGTAGCCCATGCAGACCTAAAATTCACCATGTATCCCAGGCTAGCCTCAAACCTGCATCAACCCTGTCTCTGCCTCTCACTTCTAGGACTATAAGTATGTGCCACTACACCCAGCTCCTTATCTTTATCTGTAAAAGTCAAAAGCTCAAGGGACTGGAGAGATGGCTCAGTGGGTAGGAGCACTGGCTGCTCTTGCACAGGACCTGGGTTCAGTTCCCAGCACTTACATGGCAGCTAATAACCATCTGTAATTTCAGTTTCATGGGAATCCAATGCCTTCTTCTGACTTTGTGGGCACTGCACGACGTGTACAACTTACATCCATGCAGACAGTATACTCATACACACAAAAATACTAGAATTGAAAGCATGCACCACCACATTCAGCCCATACTTCTGTATTGTTTAATTTTTACAAAGAAAGCAAGTACTAAGTACATAGTAGCAAACGCCTGTAATCCCAGCACATGAGAGGCAAGAGGATCAGATGTTCAAGGCCAGGTGAACTATATAGGGAGTTAGAGACCAGCCTGGACTGTATGAGATATTAATTTAACAAATTTTTTAAAGGTAAGTTAGATATTTTTAAGTGAAAGAAGGGAATGTGGTTGAAATGTCAAACAAGAAAGTACGACTAGCCCTGCTCCTCTCTCATAGCAGAAGTCTTGGGGACTTGGCAGTCCTCACATGTGGCCCTCTCTCAACTCTAGCTCTGGCTTGTTTTCTCTGTAGGACTGAGCACTGAAGGCATCTACCGGGTCAGTGGGAACAAGTCAGAGATGGAGAGTCTACAGAGACAGTTCGATCAAGGTAGGCCACCCATAGACCTAACCTGAACCAAGAGGTGCTGGCTCAGAGACAGATCACATGAGGTCCCAGTAGGGACCAGGCCTGTCAGCAAACCATCCCTGCCAAAACTGAGGCAGTCAAAACTGTTCCATTGCTGTGTCCCTGGCATGTGCTCACTTCTCTGGAAGGACCTTGCCTCCTTAGGCTGGGATCATGGGTGGTAGCATTTAAGGTGAAGATCTGATCTGTTTTTGTCAGGCTCTGGGGTACCTACCTCAATTATATTTCTCCTTGAAATGGCCCTGTGGGAGAGAAGTGAGGGAGCATTTTGAGATAACTGCAGCACTGGCCTCCCAATACCCAAACTGAACTCTTGAGAGTCATAGCAGCTTTTGGTAGGTCAGCTATGAGAGGCCCCCTTCCAGGGACTCAGCTCTTAACCTGTGAAGTGCCCACACTGTGGGGTGCAAAGCCATGCCACCAGTGCCAGAGGAGAAGAGCCAGAACAGTGAGCACTCAGCGGCCAGAGAATAAGGCAAGTAGAGGACACAAGAGTGCCCATGCCTACAGTAGCCTCTCTCCCACCCACTCTCAAGAGCTAGCTGACAGTGGCACCCTGTAGTCATGTACCACTGTTCGAACATCATGAATTTGTCCTGAGATGTGTATCCTTGCTGGATAAGTGACTGTCAAGTAGTATGCTTACACAAACTAATGTAGCCAGGTGGTACCATCTCATGGGACCACCATCATCTAGTAGACTTTTGCTAACCAGAGTGGTTATGTGGCACATGGCTGTATCTATAAGAATCTGAACAGCTGAGGGGCTGGAGAAATGGCTCAGCAGTTAAGAACACTGGTTGTTCTTGCAGAAGACCCAGGTTCGAATCCCACCACCCACATGGCAGCTAACAACTGTCCGTAACTCCTTTCCCAGGGGATCCGACAGCCTCTTCTGACCTCTGAGGGCATTGCACGACACGGGAGCACTTACCTACATTCAGACAATACACACATACACATAAAATAAAAATAAGAAGTAAAAAAGATTTTTGAGACAGGGTCTCCCTGTAGCCCCAGCTGTCCTAGAGCTCACTACGTAGACCAAGCTGGCCTCGAACTCACAAAGATCCGCCTGCCTCTGCCTCCCAAGTGCTGGGATCAAAGGCGTGTGCCACCATGCCCAGCTTTAAATTTTTTTTTTTAAAGTTTTAAAAAAAAAAGAATCTGAACAGCTGAAACCCAGAAACGGACACTGCTGATGTCCATCTGTAGATGACTCCTACAGACGAAGCCTAGAAAGAAAAGAAAAAGTAAAGGGAGGGGCCAGTGCATGTAGGCCTAGGAGTCAGAGGGAGGGAAAGAGGGATTCCTGTTCCCTATGTCAGGATCCGGGATAGAGCACAGCCAGCATGGCCAGGCATGTTTTTATAAGAAACCCTCCTCCTTGCTGCCTGGCAGGAAGCAGAGTAAGGAAAAGGCTGCAGCTCATCATGGCAGGGCAGGAAGCCTAGGGAGCCAGGCACCACTCCTCTCGGTCCCCTAGGCTGAAGGAGGCTGCCCAGCCAGTGTCTGAACCCAGGCTGCCAGCTCCTCTGTACCACATGATAATCCTGAGTCCCTGCCCAGGCTCTAGGCCAGCCCAGGGCAGCATCCTTGAGGTTTCTTGGGCTTCTGGAAACCTGTCCTGTGGACTCTGCTAGCTTAGATGGGTCTGACCTCACTCTTGACTTCATTTCAGATCACAATCTGGACTTGGCAGAGAAAGACTTCACTGTGAACACTGTGGCAGGTGCCATGAAGAGCTTTTTCTCAGAATTGCCAGACCCCCTGGTCCCGTACAGCATGCAGATTGACTTGGTGGAAGCACACAGTGAGTACAGGCAACCGGGTCACATCCTAAGGCCAGCCAAAGAGACTGCAGTCTAGCCCTGCCTTTGTGACATAGGCACTTCTGAATGTTACTCCAGGGGACCTGCAGGTCCCCAAGCCTGACAGCTAAGTGCACCTGGCTGGGTGGAATCCCTACTCCTGCACTGGCTGAGCCTCATGTCTGCCCTTAGTTTACTCCTCAGGGTAAAGCTTAGAACAGCCCATTCTGTAACAGATTCTCCTTGACCCTCTCCTCACCACTCTTCCCCTGCCTTATTCAAGGAAGTAAACCCATAGTCTGAGGCCATACAAACTGAGAAGCCACCTCTGTGGAAGGGGACAGGAAACCACTTGTGGCCCTAGCCAGGTGCTCATGGGGCACTGTAGCACGTGAACACCCACGGTTTTTTGTGTTTATTTGAAGTAGTGTCTCATGTATCCCAGGCTGGCCTCCCAAGTCTTTGTCGAAACCCAGAAACAGCAGTTCCTCTGTAGCTGCTGAAAGGAGCATCCTTGCCAGGTGCCAAGAAGTGGGATAGGCAAGGGGGAGTGTGACCCTGGGCCAGCTTGTCACTGCCTGACTCAAGCAGTCAGTGCGGTTACAGGTGAGGTAGCTCCCAGTCCTGGGTCCCTGTTCTTCTAAGGAAGCAGGTACTGAAGAAGGCCATACCCAGCTGTGGAGACTGCAGAGCCCAGATGACCTGCACTTGGTCTCGTGTTTCCACAGCTGACTTCTACCATGGCTGTGTTCTGCCTACAGAGTTGAGCCTCTCAAAGTCAGCACATTTCCTAACCTCTCCCACCTGCCTACTGAGGCCCAAAGGCAGCATTTGAGACTTAGGCTGACCCTGATGTGAGCTGAGTAGGAAACCTCTCTGGAGACAGCTTATCTCTCTAAGGGAACTTGACAGAGGCATGCCCAGCTGCTACAAACGGATTCCCCCATACTCATCTTGACCTGGTGCCCTCTAGAGGTCTGTCAGGTGCTGACCCCCAGCAGAATGCCATTGTTTCTGGAGAACAGCTGACATGGCACCTTTTTGTTTGAATAGGGACAAAAGAAGGTGCTGCCGATAGCTAGCCCCCCCCCCCCTGCTGTCCTTCCAGCCACTTCCACCACCCTCCCTGCTGCTTCCACAGCTCAGGAGGTGGCTACACGCCTCCTGCAACAGCCTGGGAAGGGTGGAGGCTTGCAGCTTCCTCCATTGTGTGCTTTCTGGCCCCCAGTAGTCAGCTAGGGCACCTCTGTCTGTCCATCCTTGTCACCCTGGCAAAAGTCAGTAAGGAGAAAGGGATCTTGCTGGCATAGCACCTCACAGCCAAAGCACTCAGTAGGGTATGGGACTCTGTTGGTTGAGGTGGGCTTAGCTGAACCAGATGTCAGGCAACAGCAAGTTAGTGTCAAGAGACATGGTAGAAGGAAGATTGTAGGGCCCCAAAGTAGCACAGGTTTCCATAGTAACAGCAACTTGACCGGCTCTTTCCCATTTACAGCATAAAAGTAGCTGTGTCTGTGTGTTCAGGCTTATGCATGGTTCCACATCCCATTGCAACAGACATCAAGGTCATTGTCTAATTGTTCTGTTAGCATACGAATCTCACAATATTGAACATTGCTGAGAAGTACCTACCAAGTGGAATCTGATTATTTGCCAGTTGTCTTCCTACCTTGGTCTGGGAATCACATGGGAGACTCGCAGCACCAGCCAGAGCTCATACAGTGTTGTTCGCCATGTGCCCAGCCGGGTTCAGGCATGTTCTTAGTCACTGTCAAAGTAGTTTCACATCTCCATGGTACAGAGAGGGAGCCTGAGGCTCTCAGAGTAACACAGCTTAGCTGAGGGCCTAGGGTCACATGGCTGGGGACTGGCAAGCTAGGGCTTGAATCCCTGTGCTCCCTGGGTGCAAACTGACATTTTCTGCAGGCAGACTCCAGCAAGCTGAACAGAAAATGCCAAAAGCATCACAGTGGGGAGAGAGGCAGGAACAGTGTGGAGCGCAGGCCCTGAGCTGTGGCCTCAGGCTTCGGGATTCCCGGCAGCAAACCAAGTCTTTATGTTCCCATCTGTTCCCCCACATCTCACTCTGACCCAGGAATTGTTCTCAGCCTGTGTGGTCTTCTTTTCCCCTTCTCCCTGCACCCTTTCCTTGTCCAGAGTCCCTCTAGTCCATCTAGTCCCCAAGGCTGTCTTATGCCTTCTGTGCTGACAGGAGTCCTAGAGCTAAGTCCACCTCAGGCCAGTGGTTCTAAGCCAAGGACCTGTGGCTGCCAATCCTTAGTAGTCCAAGGGAAAAATGTTCATGATACAGGCTTATCATCTAGCCTTCCCACTGGGTTGATGAGACAGTCTAGACTAGAGACACTCCATGACTGATGGCCAAGGTCACAGGGCAGATGGCCCTTGCTACCTCATAGACTGTAGTTCCTGTGCTGCCTCAGGATGTTGCTGGTTATAGGAGCCCACTTTCCTCTTGTCTGTCCAGATAGCTTCTTTGGGACCCAGTGTTCCTTGCTACAAGCACATAATTGTGTGGGACCCCAAGTGGACAGGGACAGATGGCAATAGACAGATAATATGTGGTCCCTGCTGCAATCCTGGCTTAGTGCATGGTTATGCCTCCAGAACATTCTGAATCTTCCATTCTGGGTCCAGCAAAGGGAGATGACAGCCTGGTCATGCCACAGCCTTGTCTCCACCTGGGAGGAGGACCATGGCACACCTAGGGCCCACCTGCATTGCTCAAGGTCTGTACCCTTGATCCCAACATTCTTCTTTTCCAGTAGTATAGGTGTATAGAGGGTAAGTAAGTGACCCAGGCACTGAAGTGATAGCAACAGTTCCCAGTCTGAGTCTGGAACTCTGTTGGCAGCAGGCAGCCAGGGCTAGGACAATGGAATCAAGGTCCTTGCCCCTGGTTTTTATGACCTAGGGCTAGTCCTTGTACCTTTTTGGTTTTTCTTGGTTTTGTTTTTGCTTTGTTTATTTGGGTTTTGGGGGGGAGGGGTATGTATGTGTGTTATATGTGTTTGTGTGTATGAGGGTTATGCCTGCATGTATATAAATGCACCTGTGTAGTACGGTACCCACAGAAGACAGAAGAGGGCATCAAATCCCCTGGAACTGGAGCTATGGACAGTTGTTAGCCATCTTGTGAGTGCTAGGATTCAAATCCAGGTCCTCTGCAAGAGCTGCCAGTGCTCTTAACTACTGAGCCATCTCTCCAGCCCCATGTATGTGTATTTTTGAGACAAGGTCTTACTCTATAATCCAAGCTATCCTGAAACTCTTGAGTCTCCTGTCCCGGCCTCCCCAGTACTAGAATTACAGGTGTGTGCCACCACATGTCCTTTGTATCTTTTTAAGGCCTGGTCTGGGTACAGTATAAGGGATGACTGTAAGTCCCAGGTGGTCTCTGGTGGTCTCTCTTCTCCTCATTGGTTCTTGAGGGCTCAGCTGTTTTCAGCTGCTTTGAGTGTACATAGGCTTCACATTGGTTTGTGTGACCTCCAAGTGCCTGCCCATAGCCCTGTCCCTTCCCTCTAGGCATGATTGGTGGTCTGGAGCCGATGGAGACCCTATTGCTGCAGACACCACTCACTGTAGATGCAGGACATAGAGAAATCAACTGTGACTAGCTAGGAAATTCTCTTCCCTGCTTGTTTGCTCATAGTGCCAGAAGGTGCTATTCAGGCTACAGGGAGAGAAGACATCCGTGGTCTCACCTGGTGCTCAGCCGTGCATGTTATAATGCCAGCTTGCCTGGCAGGATGTGTCCATTGGTACAATAATGGCATGGCAGTTATGGGGGCAACCAACGTTTTCTGATTGGCTATAAGGTTGGCTATAAGGCCTGCTCCACAGGAGGAATTTTGTGGCTAGTACTATAAATCTGGTCAAAAACCCACAACTGGAGAATCATAGGCACCAAAAAAACAACAGTGATAAGGTCGAGTCTGGCTTAGCAGTATCCTGCTTACCTAGCACGTGTAGCGTGCACAAGGTCCTAGGTTCCATCCCCAGGACCTTAGCAGGGAACCAGCCCTGCTTTCATGTCATAGGCCCAAGATCAAGCTTTACAAGGAAGATCCTGTATCTCTCCTTGAAGTCCTCCCACCAGGTGCTTGGTGCCCCTCAGTGCTTAAGACTACAGAGACCAAGCAGTGGAAAGGAGAACAGAGGGTGTAGGACAGAGGCCATCTAGGCCCTTCTTGGGCTTCTGGCTAAAAGAGTAGGAAGCTGAGCTTCCCAGAGTTGGGGGTAGGGGTGACCATGAGTTAGAGCTCTAGCAGAGCCCCAAGGAAGAAAGCAAAGAAACACCCATCCCTCCTGTTCCTCGTGGGAGAGGCATCTGGCCAAGCAGCCAGTCCAGCCCCACTTCCTGTCTCAGCCAAGAGAAGTGAGACTGCTCTGGGGTGCTGCTACCCCAGTGCCTGATGAAGACAACATAGCTGTGTTGGTGTCATGGGGCACCTAACTCTGCACACTTGTCCTGTGAGGTGAAACTGAGCCACACCATGCTTGTTGCATTTCCTCACAGTCTACAGTGACTACCTCCCATGGCTTCCTTCTGCTAAGCAGACTTTTTACTAAAACTTAGCAAAGAATTTTAAAGCTCGAAGCTACAAAGTCAACTATTGAAGCTAAATCATGGAAACAAATCTTGGGTTTGAGGGCTGAAGCTGATTCTGGCTCGTCAGTTCCCATGGCATTGCTGACAGACACTGTCCCCACAGTTCCCATTGCTTGGCCTTACTGCAGTCAGACCAGCTCCCAGGAGTGTACCATTTGTCAGGCTCCGACCTCTGAACTACTTAGTGTCTCCAGCCTTTTCCACAGACAGGAGGCTGACCCTTAGGTGTCACTTGCCCATATACACACATCAACACCCAGATCATCAGAATCTAGTTTAGGGCTCCGAACTGCAGCCCAGCTTGCACCATGTGTCTCGCCCAGTTATGGTCCTCTGGGCATGTCCTCTATTGTAAAGGTCCTCAACCACGAAGCTGTGGTCTTACCCTCTTAAACTATTTTATTCTTTTTTTCTTGATTTCAAGATTTATTTTTATTGTTTTGGGGCTGTGGTCTTGCCCTCTTAAAATTATTTTATTCTTTTGTTTTAATTTCAAGATTTATTTTTATTATTTTTGGGGCTGGAGAGATGGCTCACTGGTTAAGAGCACTGGCTGCTCTTGCAGAGGACCCAGGTTCAGTTCCCAGCACCTACATGGAAGAATTTTTTTTTTTTTTTGGTCTTTTTGAGACAGGGTCTCCCTGTAGCCCCTGCTGTCCTGGAACTCACTATGTAGACCAGTCTGGCCTTG